AAACATCTGCAAGGCCAGGCTGTATCCGCAGCAGGAAGCTCCGGAACCAAGCACTGCCTGCTCCTCCCGGGTGGGCGCCACCGCCCTGCAGAAGCGGTAATGTGTGAGGAGGCCGGACGCAGCTTGAAGCCTGCAGCCTTCAGCGTGTGGTCCTGGCTGGGCTCCAGCAGGGTGCAGAAGCAGACACTGTCGCCTGCTCTTGCTGTGGCCTCTGTCACTGTGTGGACACATCCACGTGTTGCTTAGCATGAGCAGCTGTGTCCCTTTTACTGTCCCTTTAATTCTGCAGTTCTCCCCTCACGTAACTGACCATTAGACATAGGAAGAGCTCTTCAAACATCTGTTTCAGTACTAAACAGAAGCAAATGTCCCAAGAAAAGCCTTAAAATGAGAGGGATGAAAATACTATTTGTCTTTTTAAAAAATCTAATTGACTCAGTCGTAGTTGCTTACTTAGCTGTCTCCACTCGAGGGCTAAGGATGCGGGTCCCCTGCTGTACTCTGGCGTCCCTGTCCCTGGATGGGGCAGGGGTGGTAAGGACTGATGGAGGAGGGGTGTGCGGGTCTGACCAGCCAGAGGAGGTGTGGGGCGCTGCTGGGGAGAAAGGCAAAGCCCCCTCCTGCTAAGCAAGGCGAGGTGCGCTGGCCTCGGGCAGGGGGGAGGAGAAGGCCAGGATTCCCTTGGAGCCTCTAACTCGGGAAACACACCCCAGGGAGCAGGCCGGGCACCCAGGAGAGGGATGCAAGGGAGCTAGCTCACCTTCAGTTTGGTTCTCCTGCAATCTAACCAGTTCCTGGCCCAGCGCTTAGAGGACTTGTTTACATACACAGAAGTCAAAAGGGGCCCTTTTCCTTGGTGAAGCCTGGGACATCCCTTGCAGGCAGATCGCACAGGCTTTGGGGTGACGGCTGCTGCGAGAGGTGGGCAGGAGCCGCAGAGGACGCATGGGCCTCCTCGTGCCCGCCAGGCAAAGACGCAGCCCTGTTGCTGGAAGCTCAGCCTGCACAGGTCAGCTAGAGAGGTTCCGCGCTTCTTACACACATCAGACAAAAGGAGAGGACAGATTACCCGAGGGAGTGGGACGTGACATCATTTCCTAGCCATGCAGGTGAAGACGCGGAGCAAGGTGCTCAGTGACATCCAGGCGGCAGCAGCCGGAGCCCCACAGTCTCCATCCAGCTTTAGATTCTACCCTGCCCCAGTCCTGGCATGGGGAGGGGATGGCATCTCTAACTGAGGGCATCCAGGGCGATGTCCAGTGCTGCCCTTCTCAGTAGTGAGTGGCTGCTCGTGGTGCAGCTGGGTGAGGTGGGCTGCGAGACCTGGAGCTCCTCCCTGGATCTTCTGGAAGGAAACCAGGCAATGGTTTCACCCCCTCACTGCTGTCACAGACTCGGAAAAAGAGAGGCCAAGAGCATTGTCATCCATGACCAAAATGACAGGAAGAAGCTGAGAGACATTTACTAAAGCTAGCATCCTCGGGGCTGGGGATTTAGCTCAGTGGTGCGGCGCCTGCCCAGCAAGCATGAAGTGAAGAGTTCAATTCCTGTTACCCAACAGACATCAACATCTGTCTCACAAGGCCCAAGGCCAGGCACAGCCTTGAAACCTGCTAGCCATTCAGAGTCACCCCACCTGAACCAAATGATACCCAGAGGGCCTGCTGTACCCCCAGAAAGGCCACGCTGCACCCAGAGAGCCACAGCATGTCCTGCAACATGCCTCATGCCCAACAGGCTCCACGACACCTAGCCACGCAGTACCACATTAACAAGGCCTGAGTCCCACCTAGGGAGGGTCAGAGGCCGGCAGAGTGAGATGGATTCAATCCCAAGCTCCAGCATGGCTGAGAGACTCCGACCCCCAGCCTAAGTCCTAAGCTTTGGTTTTGTCTCCTGTAAAATCAGCACAGTACAATCCCTACCTCGTGGGGCCCGGGCTTTGACACAACACGCATAAAACACCTTCCCAACGCTTGATTATTACAGGACAGCGGCATCACCTCATCACCATTATCCATCATTATCATCACCGTCATTGCTGTTATAGAAAAACCTCCAGAGAAGTCAATCAGTGCCAAAGCCCTCACAGTGCTGACGTGCGGTGCTCCCAGCCCCCACCGTCGGGACGCTCTGTGGTGCTTTTAACCTAAATCCCGGCTGTCCACAGCACGAGCCCATGTTCTTTCTCATTCTGATATCTGCGGTAATAGAGCAGCGTTGTCTATAAGCAATCTCTCTGACAACAATGATGTACAAGGACATAATGCTCCGCAGCTTACAGGTCAAGCCCAGGACCGCCAGAGCGCCTGAATCACCCCACGCTACCGGCCTTCAGGGGCAGTCACAAAAGGACTTTTCTGGGAGACTAAACCCAGCGCATCCTCAGGTAGGGAGCCAGAGCATGACTTGCCCGCTTGTGTTTTTAATGAATTAAACTTTATGTTAAAAAGAAAACTTTTCCCTGCATGTTGGACTACTTAGGGACTGGATTCTGTCTCTCCCCCGGCCAGAAGTTCTGACTCCAATGTGAATGGAACTGGCACCTCTATATAAGAGGCTTCCTGTCCCTTCCTAACATCTCAGGACATGATGAGAAGCCAGCAGCCAGCAACCTGGGCTCCTCACCAGACCGCAACCACAGTGGAACCAATCTCAGGCGTTAAGCCCCTGAACTGTGAGGAGCAGATGTCCTTTGTTCACACCTCCATGTGGCACTCTGTCCCAGCAGCCAGTGACATGGTCCTTTCTAGGGTTCCACTTCACCTTCTCCCCTTTGCCCTGGGCTACCTCAAAGTAGAAGGGGAATTTCCAGGAAACCAGGCCTGGAGGAGGGAGTGGAGCACTGTGATGGTCACTGGCTGCAGAAGCAGGACAGCCGGTCACAGAGCCGACCCCACAGAAGAGCTTGTGGGGCAGAGTGGGGCATGGGAGCTGGGGCAGGAGGACTGTACAGAGGGGCACAGTGGCAGCTTTCCCTCTGGGGACCCCACAGGCACCGCAGTGTCCTTGTCCTCATTCTTGGGGTGGCGTCTGTATGGGGCTCCCCCAGGTACTCTAGCTCCTCCCCAACCCCTTCCTCGCTGCAGGCTGGCTTTGCAAAAGACAGGGCCGTGCTGGTCTGCTGGAGGTGTGCGCTGTCACAGAGAAAAACAGCAGAGGGAACAGTGGGGGAGGCAGGGCACTTGACAGGCAGTGTCCTGGCAGAGGGGAAGGGAGTGAAAGGATGCGGGTAAGCGGGGCACAGTGTTTGCAATGGGGACACCAGAGCCACAAAGGGCTCAGCAGCCATGAGGAATGGCACAGCCTTGATGGCAGGGACAGGAGGCTGGTGCCCAGGGAGGTGATGAGCAGGGGAAGGGACAGTAGAGAGAGCCAGGGCCGGGGCAATGGCCCGCTAGACCACACAGGGCCTCCAAGAGCTTTGGGCAGGGGCTGAGCATGCTGGAGCCATGGGGTTCAACACTGCCACAAGCCACGAGACTGAGGAGCCTGTCCCGACTTCAGGTGGCCCAAGTGAGCAGATGGAGGGCCAGGCAACAAGTTCATAGTCCCCAGGCTTAGTGCAGTCTTGCCACCACTGTCCCCAAGGCAGTCCCCTCCCTGTCTGACAGCCCAGATGTGGATAAGCACCCCATTCCTGGCAGCTGGAGTGGACTGTCATGAGGCTGCTGGGCACTGTGACACCCAGGCCAGTATGCGTTAGGGACATGGCTGGCGCTGGTCACTTGGGGTGCAGGAGCAGGGAGCAGGGAAGTGGGTGCCAGGTGGCAGACACGCAGTACCGCAGCATGAACTCTACGCACTGCATCGGTGAGTGTCACCAGCCGCCTGATTGTCACACTAGCAATCTCAGTGACGTCACTGCTTCCTTCCTCTCCTTACCCCTGGCTTAAGCATTTTGTGACTCTGGTCCCTTCATTAGTCGCCCCTGTCGGCTCACAGAACATCAGACCCTCATCACTGTCACCTTTCTGCTTTGTTGTGCCAGGGGTGGAGAGAGGCCTGGACTCCTTGGACAGCCGCCTAACCCCACCTGTGGGCTCTGCCCCCCAATGAGGATGCACCGCGCGAGGCTGAGAAACAGAACCACAAAGCTGGGTACTGTGCCTGGCACAGGTGGGGGAGACCTGGATAACAGGGTCTGAGAAAGGGCCAACTCTTGAGGGCTGGCCAAATAGCTCAGTGGATTAAAGCGCCTGCAAGCAGGTGCAGGGGCCGGGGGTTCGAGCCTTGGGCCTGTCCTGCCAGCCCCGCCCCTGGGGCATGCTGAGATGGCAATTGAGACTGGATGCGGTGGCGCCTGTAATCCCAGCTCTTGGGAGGCTGTAAACAGGCAGATCACTACGAGTCTGATCTAGTGGTGAGACTCTGTTCCCTACAATACAAAAAAAAGAGGACTCTGTGGAAATAGATCTCACCCCCAGCTTCTCCTCTCCTCCACATGGCTGTTGCGGCCCAAGCACTTTCTTTAAAAACAGCCAAGGCTGATTGGCTAGAGGGACACCAGTCGGAGCTTGAAGCAATCACTGAAATTAATTCCTGAGGAGTCTGAGCAGAAGCCTTCCAGCGGAGCTCTCCCTGGCACGAGCTCACCACTTCCCGCAAGCGCGTGCAAATCAGCACCCAGCCTGCCCCAAATTTCACTGCCAGATTTTTTTTTCTTCACTTTCTAGAAGAACAAACCGCAGTTCTGCGATCGCAGCGGCACCATGAGGGCTCTTCCCTGGCAGGCAGGGGTGGCCGCAGCAACTCTAAGCTGCCACCCTCACTCTGCCCCCGACCTCGGGTACCCAGCACAGAGCCCAAGAGTGGGTTGGTTTCTTTCTGAGGGTGAAATAGCCAGGACTGGCCTCGTTCCTTGCTGAAGAAACGTGCCAAAGACAGCGTTTGGCCAAAAGGATCTTTTCATTCGTTGCAGGATGCCTGGAGGCGATCTGTGCTGGACTGGCACAAGCTGGTCCCCGTCCTGCGGACAGAGAGCTGCCAGCGCGCCCTACCTTCCTGAAGCCGCGCACGCCGATCTTCCGGTGCAGGCCCTGGCTGACGGCCAGGAATCGCTTCCTGAACGCTGGGTCCTGCCGCCGGACGCAACTTTTGAGTTTTTCAATGACTTCATCTATGCTCATGTTCTTGGCTGTGGCAGTCCCGTCACTGGTGGGCTCGGTTCTGAAATCACAAGCAGGCACTTAGTGCGCTGGCATCCCCGCGCCCGGAGCCCACCACGCGCAGGCTCGCAGGGCCCGGACTCGGCCACCGGCGGGTGGGGCCTGCAGGGGGCGCTCTCATCCCCGCCGCGCGGAGGCTCCCGGCCGGCTTGCGCTGACGCGGGCGGTTGTATACACCCGGGAAATTAAAAGCAAGGGCCCAGGATAAAGCGTGGGATTACAGGACAGGCCATCGGGAAGGGACTCAATGAAGAAAGTCATCGAACATCTACAGAGAGGAAGGGAAGCCAGAGTCATTCTGAGTTCATTGATGAAATCAACTTGATTTATAAAATGTTCATTTCGAGGGATGGCGCACGTGCACGTAGGATAATTATTTCCTTATTATTTCCTGAATTAGCTCTCTGGAAGATTAGAGGCCCCATTTGGGGAAATAAAGGAGACATCCGACGGTGGTGGGGAGGACTTCCGCTCTCGGCTTCTCTCCTGACTTTAGGAGGTCTCCCTGAAACGCTACAAAATTTTATGAAACGCTTAATTGCCATTACTTCTTTCATGGGCTTTAGGAAACAGACATCTTATCATTTAACCTTTCTCTTGAAATGCCATCTCCCTGCTCATTTATAAAGCAGCTACTACTGGAAAGCCAGATATTCAAATTGCATTAGCATATCATTAAAACATTCCCATTGCTCTATATCCAACTTTTTAAAAGGAATATAACTGAGCGAAGTGTGTGGCGTTTTACAGTTCTCGTGGATTTACGATAAGCCATGAACCAGCAAGTTACCACCATCTCTTTTCCTTTCACGACGCCTGTATTTTTCAAGAGGAAGATCTAGAATAATCATGGCTGTAATTTTTAATAGATTCACTGATTGTGCTTTATCGTTATGATTCAATTTGACAATTACTTCCATAATTTTATTATTCTTATTAGAAAATGTAAGCTGGCTGGCTGGTGTGTTTTGCAATAAACATGGTAGGAAGGATTCTCCGCTTCTGGAAGGAAGAGACGTTCCTGCAAGGTACAGAACAGAGACGCGGTGGACAGTTCCGGGAGACAAGCTCTGGGCTTATGACCCAGTCCTGCCACCATGCATGGGAACGACCCAAGGGCAGTCTCCACCTCTGAAACTCCAGTGCTTGCATTTCTAAAAATTCAAGTACAGACTCAGTCATTTCTAAATCTTTGCTTGCTCTAAAATCCCTCGACTCTAATCGCTGTACATAAAGCATATCACCTTTCTTATTTAAATAATAAACTGGGGCTGGGGAGACAGCTGAGCAGTCTAAGCACCTGCCCAGCAAGTGCAAGGACCCGGGTTCTATCCCTGGCATCACATGCTGTGCCAGCCCCAGAACACTGGGCGTGCCATGCCGGCCACCAAAAGTGGGCATGATGGTACCTGCCTGCAATCCCAGTGCTGGGAAGGCTGAGACAGGAGGAGCGCTATGAGTCTGAGCTGCAGAGCAAGATCCTGTGCCAAATAATAAATAAATAACTATTCCAATACTTAGCCAACAAACATTTACAAGCATTTACTGAATACCTCCTCGCCCCCCCCCACACACACACTGTGGTCTGAATGTGTCTTGCCCTGTGTTTTATTTTACCTCTCGGAGAGTGCCGGCTGCTGCTGTTCTTTTTGAAAACGTTCACATGGCTGATCCTTTGAGGTAAGGATCGGAGAGACCGTGGAGGGGGCACAAACTTTGATGCATGCCAAAAACTTCCTATAAAGGATTTTTTCTGAAGTCGTGTCTTGAAATTTACAGCAGAGTCTGAAGTTGAAAAAATAATTAGCACGCACACATTAGAATGGCTAAAACCAAACATACTGCCTCTGCCTCTCAAGCACTGCTGAAGATGGAGTAACGACAGGCTTCGCTCCTGCCTGTGGGGACGCAGGATGGTGCAACTGCTTTGGAAAACTGTCTGGCAATTGACTGCACAGCTAGCAGGGGAGTCAGCCATTCTGCTCCTAGGCACTTACCCAAGAGAAATAAAACTGTGTCTACACAGAGAGTCATACAGTAGATACAGCTCTATTTGTAATAGCCTCAAGCTGGAAACAAACCATATGTGTAGCAACAGAGGATGCGGATGCCAACCAGTGAAGCCATGTAGTGGAGTACTACTCAGCATTGGAAAGGGATGAACTGCTGACACATCTGACAACATGCCTGAAGCTCGCGTCGCTGCACTTAGTGCACACCGCCAAACAACAAAGAGGCCAGCGTGTGTTCTCCCGTTTATGGACAATCTTGAGAAATGTGAAGAATCTACCGTGAGGGCCAATGGGTGGGAAGGACCAAGTCTCTTCCCGATGGCCTGTTCCTGTAACCCTCTGACCAATGGCAGAGGGGCGTGGGGAGCTCTTAGTGGGCGGTGCAAACGCACGACGGCTTGGTCGGTGTCTGGTAAGGGTCTCGTGGATACGGACACATGCTGAATTTTATCCACTTATGATATTTTAAAATGTGCAGCTTGCTACACAAACTGTACTTAGATAAGGACATTACAAGTATTAAAAAAAAAAAAGATTTTTTCCAAAATAGAAATTTTGGTATGGAGTTGTGTAAGTACTTCTATTGGAATTTCCGCCTATGTAAATGTTTTGCATAAATGTAAGAAACCACTAATATGGCAGGATTCCTTGCCTTCTTTCCTTCCCCCCTTCCCTCCCTCCCTCCCTTGCATCTTTCTTTGTTTTCAGTGCTATAGACTGAAACCACTAAGCTACCCACTAGCCCTAGGGCTGATCTTTTTTCAACGTTTTATTGAATTATTACTATTACCTATTAGTATTGGAAAAATACATAGAAAAAGCTTTAGGATTACTAAACATATTTGATAGAAACATTAAGCAAATAACTTCTGGGTCCAGAAAACTTACTTTATTAAGTGTTCATTTGCTAAAAATGGGCAGAATATGCGCATGACTTTCTTGAAATTGTTCCGAGCAATTGTTCCCGTGTCTCTGCGGTCGTATGACTGCAGCATGTTAGAGAAAGCCTGTCGATTCTTAGCAATCGCCTCGTGAACCATTTCTTCCACCTAACACAAGAAGCACACAGTCACGGGGCTGCACGTGTGTCCCCAGCATGCTGACACTCTCGGATGGAACAGGGGGAACGTCCCAAACAGAAAGCCAAGCGCTACTTACTGACTCCCACGCCAAGGGCAGCAGTGTCTTGGCGCCTGGACAGGGCGATGTTTTACTCATCTAAGTGGGAAAGAGAAAGGGCATAAACGTGAATCGCTCAAGGAAAGCGTGGGAGCTATGCAGGCAACTGCACTCGAACAAGCGTCCTAACCCTGATGCCCAACTGCGGACAGCAGGGGTAGAGGAGCCAGGCTCTCCCAGGTGAGCTCCTCTCCCAGCCTTGGCCATGTGCACTCCTGCAAACACCTTATGCATATGTTCTTCTTTAAAAACTAAAGCAACAGGCCAACAAGATAACTTAGCCCCATAAGCACCTGCCTGGCAAGCGCAAGGTCCTGAGTTCAATCCCCGGTGCTGCAATCAATCAATCAATAACAAATAAAACATACATTCTCATATATTATCTTCTTAGTAATTTCTCGAATTTTATACGAACACATTGGTCCTGAAATGATATGCACAAGCAAATGCTAACGTGCTCCTTGTGGTAACATTTACCAAAAGCAAGCACTGGGATTATAGTGACAAGGACTAGTTGTTACACTTTAAAATGTATAGCAGAATTTACTTGAAATGTTAACAATATATTAGGGGGTGACAACAGAGACAAAGGAGTCATTAGTTATATGATCCCTTCTAAATAAAAATAGGTAAAATAAATCAAAGAACAGATCTAAGCCCACTGACTGTATACAGAAATAGGCAGGTTTTAAAATATCAATTACCTTTCAATAAGCTATTTTTTTTTAAAAAAAAAGGATGTGTGCATGTGCATATATGAGTGTGTGTGTGTATGTGTATATATATATATATATGTTTGGAATGAAAGATAGCACAGTAGAACAGTGGGTCTCAATATTTTGATGTAAGAATTAGGGATTTTTATTTTCTCCTGTTTGCATACATGCATGTTATGGCTTGTGTCTAGGTGTCCCCCCAAGCCTCACACCGTCAGGGGGCGGCTTCTAGAGTCTGTGATTAATTCCTGATCCAATGCTGGGATTACGGGTGTGAGTGCTACACCCGCCCTGGGCTGGTAATCTGCATGCCATCTAGGGAGGAAGGGAGGCTGGCTCGCTGCCGCAGCCACTGCTCCTCCGTCGGCGCTTTGCTGCTTCCCGCCTCCGTGCACGGCTGCCCTCTGCCGTGTGCCGCTCTGCCTTGCAGCCAGCTGGGCATGGGCTGAAACCTCCACAGGGAGCTAAATAAACCTTTCCTGTCTTCAGTTTTGGTGCTGGGTATTTTGTCCCGGCAATGAGAGAAAAGTAACTGAGACAATGCCCATTGTAATTTTCCTCAATCATTCATTCATTTAACCAACAGGCCCGGCCCTGTGGTGCAGTGGGCAGAGAGAGGACCACAGCACACCGTGACTGGGTGGGACTTGGTGGCCATAATCGGAGGACAGGACTTGTCCAGAGATGTCACACGTGTGCCTGCTGAGCTGGGCACACTTGGGAAACCATACTATTAAAATGATGCCTGAAACTTATTGACTGTTTCCTAGATTCTAAACATTTTGTGTGCATTATCTTGCCAAATCTCCATAGCAACTGACGAGGTAGGTCTGTGATCAAAGCCCCTTTCACAGACAAAGCCCTGGGACTCAGGCAGGTAAATGCTGTGTCCTGGACACAGCTCACAGTGGGGGAAGCTGGGATTCGAACATGGGCACCCGAGCTCTTTTCCAACTGGTGGCCTCTACTCCTGTGGCCCAATTTCATCTTGCAGAAGCACCAATGGTAAACTGAGTCAAGGCATCCTTCCAGGCTTATGTGTTGCTATGGTCACCACCCAAGATGTCCCTTGACAGCTCACTGTGTTCAGACGGCTACTGGTGGGCTTCGGGGGCCGAGTGGATCAGAGGGGCTCTTCCTTCATTGATGGGTGCATCTGGAATGAGCTCAGAATTTGATAGTGGAGAGGAGAGGGACGTAGCAAGGGGGGAGCCTGACGGAAGGGAGTGGGTCCTGGGGAGACCTTAGGGCCTACATCCCCCAACCCCTCTCTCTCCCTCTCTTCTTCCCTCCCTTCCATCATTATTTTCAATTTTGTGCATTGGTATATTTTGTAAGTATTCTACAATGACTATGATTTATATAATCACAAAATATTTTTGACCTCTTAAAAAATTCTTTGAAATTTTAAGCACTAATGGCTACGATTATGAGGCACATTTCTAATAAAACTCCCAGCTTTTACTCAAAAGGAACAAATAATAAAATCAAACTCTGGTCACCAGACGTGATCCACAGCTACTCCTTACTGCTTATGTTTTCAATACATTACAATTATCAACAAGCGGCTCTTTTTCAAGCTGGGGGACCAACATAGGATGCTGAATCTTTCCAGACACTCTTTAGCAAGGCCGAGCTGTCACACTGCTGTGAGACACTACACCCTGTCCGCCACAGGCTGTCGCCTAAGGGTGGGTTTTCAGAAAATATAATCCTCCAAGATTCAGAATTAAAAAGTCAAAATTAAGTAACTCAGTCGGTTAACTCTTGCTTAAAATGAAAATTAATTCCATTGAAAATGTGAAGTAAGGGCCAGCCAAATAGCTCAGCAGATTAAAGTGCCTGTGGGGGGGAAGGGGCTCAATCCCTGCCCCTGAGGCACGCTGAGAGGCAAATGAGACTGGGTGTGGTGCACGGCTGTAATCCCAGCTCTCGGGAGGCTGTAAACTGGAGAATCACTATGAGTCTGATCTAGTAGTGAGACCCTGAACACCCTGTAGACCCTTCCCTAAAACACAAAAGAAAGGAAGGAAGGAAGGAAGGAAGGAAGGAAGGAAGGAAGGAAGGAAGGAAAGAAAATGTTGGGGCTGGTGAGATGGCTCAGTGGTCTAAAGCACCTACTTAGAAGAAGCTTAGCAAAGCACAGGGACC